CATTCTTGAATTACCCATTTGTCACCCAGAAGGATTTTGTACCACAGAGCAAAGCATGAATAAGATTCAGAATGGGTGAGAAGTACTTTTTCTTTTTTTTTGCACAGTAGTACAAAGTTGGTTATGAGGAGAGCTGAGAAAGGAGAACTGGCAGTCCACAGTCTATTCTTGGACAGATCAGTTTTAGGAAAGGATATGTATAGAGTTTAAAGATCTGGAAATCAATCATCTTAAAAATATCTTACTCTGTATACTGTCTTGAAAGTCTTTATATGCATCTTGTTTGAGCACTCCTGGGATACTCTAAATATTATAGAAAAACTCAAAGTGTTTATAAGGATGAATATGATGATTTCCGTTTCTGATTAGATGGAAGACTAGACCTCCAGAGAAGTCATCCAGTATTGAACTAAAAATTCTGGATAAAATATTCTTTAAAACATCTTTAAAAATATTTGACTCAACTGTTGGGAAAAGAAGGAAGGTCCTTGCAATAGACAATAAGAAAGTAAAAGTCCAGAGAGTTAAGCCTATCTTTTGCTGCTATTTTCCATGGGGGCATCTGGCTATCTTAGATGGTCATGTGCCAGGGAGAATAGACAAAAACATGAGACCTGTAAACGTTGAGAAGATGGACATCCATGAGAAGCCAGAATCCCAGAAAGCTTATACTGTCAGAGGATTGAAGTGGGGTTTGGTGATGATGGTAGTGTCTGTATCAGTCAGGGATTGACCAAAGCAACAGAATCAGTAGAAGATTATATATACATACATATATGTGTATATATATATATATAGATAGATATGTAATTATGTATATATAAAGAGATTTATGTAAAGGAATTGGCTTACACGATTTGTAGGGCAGGCCAGCAGACTGGGACCCCTCCACCAGGAGCTGAGGCTACAGTCCAAAGGAAGAATATTTTTTTTCATCAGGGAAACCTCTGTTTTGCTCTGTAGGCCTTCCAGTTGATTGCATGAGACCCACCCAGATTATCAAGGATCATCTCCTTTACTTAAAGTCAACTGACTGCAGATGTTAACCCCATCTACAGAACACCTTCACAGCAACATTTAGGTTAGTGTTTAATTGAATAACTGGGTGCTACAGCCTAGCCAAATTGACACATAAAACTAACTATCACAGTGCCTCAGACAGAGAGGGAAAGAGAGAGGGAGGAAGGGAAGAGAAACTTAACCTACTTATCTTTAGATCTAAACGAAAATTTGGAAACAATCCTCGAGGAATACTTAACCACAAGTTGATCACATAGATTTGAGGCTAGAATTTATGCATCTGTGTTACCTCCACCCCCCCATAAATCTACACTAACTATTTCATTAAAAGTGCTCATAAGAGAACTTATTGAGGTGATGGAAATGTTCTAAAACTGGATTGTCGTAATGTACAACTTTGGAAATTTATGAAAACTCAAACTGTACACTTAAAACGGGTAGATTTTATGATATGTAAATTACACCACAATAAAGCTGCTAAAAAAAAAAGTGCCCTGAACAACATACTGTGCTTCCCAGGTTGTGAGAAGGGAGGTACATATGTTGCTGTTCGAAATGAAAGATAGTATGGCCCCTAAGGAGGGAAATTTGAAAATGTCTAGCAAGAGTGCATATGCATTTATTGAGCCAGAAATTTACAGTGATATTCATTGCCACACTATTTACAATGGCAAAGGCTGAAGACAACTGAATGTCCATCAATAGGGGATTAATTGAATAAATAATGGTATGTCCACACAATGGAGTACAATGCAGGTACAGCAAGGAATGAAGAGCTCTATATTCTGCTATGGAATGAGTGAAAAAAGCACATTGGAGAAAGCATTTGTAGTATGCTGTTGTTTATCCAATAAAGGGAGGAGATACGTAAATGTATTTTTATATTAAAAAATAATGGAAGGATAAACCAAAACAAATTTTTTTTTTTTAAGATTTTATTTTTTTCCTTTTTCTCCCCAATGCCCCCCAGTACATAGTTGTATATTCTTCGTTGTGGGTCCTTCTAGTTGTGGCATGTGGGATGCCGCCTCAGCGTGGTTTGATGAACAGTGCCATGTCCGCGCCCAGGATTCAAACCAACAAAACACTGGGCCGCCTGCAGCGGAGCGCGCGAACTTAACCACTCGGCCATGGGGCCAGCCCCAACCAAAACAAATTTTTTAATGTTATTTAAAGGAGAAGGGAGGAAATATGTTGGAGGGGACAGTGATAGAAACTAAACTTTTCTGGATATATCTTGTTTTATATATTTGACTTTAGAACAATATAAATGTTTTATATAATTAAAAAACATTGTTATAAAAAAGGCAATCAACTTTTAAAAAGCAAAATTAAATAAATAAACTTGTGTATCAAGTGGGCACTTGGAGAGTAAATATTTCAAGTGATTTTAAAATGTTTCTAGTCAGATATACTTAATCTTTAAAAAGAAGTCCCCTCATTGGAACATCTGGCCATATCATAAAATAAAAGAGCTAGTAAAGCTATGAGCCGATGACCAAAAGATAAGAATAAGAAAAGCAATCTACAATGGAAGATCTAAGGAGCTTCAAAAAGGAATAAATGAGAAAGGAAAAAAAAGTAGCCCCTTGGATGCTAGACTCAGGGGGCCAATTTTCTGCACTTGGATGCATTTTGTCTCCAGCGTCACCTTTGGCCACCCTGTGGTAGAAAGTGTCCAGCTAGGCTTTGACATGCACGTGATAGCATCCAGGCTGGAACAGTGGGTAAAACCAAAGGCTGTAGCAGGAACCCATCAATATAGTTTAATCTCGAGGTTACTGAGAAACCAGGGGCTTTGACCAAAGACATAGTGAGAACGAGATGAAATTGACCTTGCCATCAAACCAGGAACTACAGGTGAGCATTTGGCACCATGGGCTAATCAGATAAAGATAGCCTTGGTTATGACAGTGGGACCTGGGTTTGGAAGGCAGAAATTCATGAACGATGTGATGCCAAAGGTTCACTGGTTGAGGATCCAGTTCCCATCTTTGGACTTAGAGGTTGACTGTGAAGTGGGTCCTGACACCGCCCATAAATGTAGAGTCCTGAGGTAACATGATTGTGTCTGGCAATGTCATTTTGAGGAGTGAAGGTATCGTATCTGTGACCAATGTGTTAAAGAATGTTTGCTCAGAGGCTGCCCAGAAACATTCTCTTGGTTAATGAAATGTCAAAGAGCCCAATGTTTTTGCTCACATTTCTAATTTTAACTAGAAAGCAAGAACGTTGACAACCAAATCATATTGCAGGCGAGGTAATGTTGCTTTTCCGAGCAATTATTCATTCCAACGACTAAAATCTATTTTACAGGATGTTCTGAAAGGTCAGAAATTGATGTATACATTGTGAATATATTTTTAGTGTGGTGAATATTCTGCTTTTACTTGGTGACTTGATTTTTATAAAGAGTAAATATATTGCTTTATTATTAAGGTTATAAACAAAAATTGTCTTAATGACTAAGGAAGGCATATTAGTTACTGTTAGAAAATTATTTTTCCTGCTTTCCTAAAAAGAATTTTGTTGTTTCTCAGAAGTTTTCCAAAACCAAAGGAAGTCCTTAAGTTTTTTCCTGTTTTGTGTCATTTGTGATTTGTCTACATACTTGATTAACGATTAGAATGGAACTTATCTACTTTTCACTTTCGCCTTACACTTGATGCATCAAAACTATTAAAAAATATATGAAGTCCAGGGGTTTTCAAGTAGTCTGTGATCTATTCTAAAATGTAAACATAGGTTTTATCTGTCGGCTTTGTTGGAGGGGCAGGTTATTCAGTGATTTTTTTTCCCCTTTCTTTAACCCACTTACCGTTCTTAAGGACATTAAATAATGCTGTTGCCTTAGTTCTGAGTAGAAAGGGAAAGTAAAGTCTCCGTTTGGAAGTAATATCCAGTTGAATCCTGACTCTGCCCTTTCCAGCTGTTTTACCTTAGCAAAGCACTCAACCTCTGAGCTTTATTAATTTATTAATAAGCTGAATGTAATTATAACAACCTTGCAGGGTTGTGTGGAGGATTAAAAGTGGTAACATTATATTTGTAAAACTTCCACTACCATTCCTAGAACGTAGAAGATGCTCAATACGAAGTAGTTATCGTTACATAAATTTAAGTTTCACAGGTTACAGAGTACTTTGACATAATTTCATTAAATCTGTAAATTGCTCTTATGAGTGTTGGAACAGGTATTTTTGTCCCTAATTTAAAAATGAAGAAACTAAAAGTGAGCAACAAGCCGATACCCTGGAAAGGATATAGTGGACATGGGATTTCTGGTCTGTACTCTTTTTACAAATGGAGCCTTGGGAGGTGGGTTAGGCAAAGCAAGCTACTTTTACTTAACATTGTCTTGTTGCCAATATAACTTTATTCTATAGCAGAACCAGATAGCTGAGAATATTCTAGAACTATAGATCTTTGGCCCCAAGGATATGTATTTTATTATTCCAAGAAAGAACAGGTAGGCTAGTAGATGACAGAGTTAATCTATAAACTAAAAGGTTTATGTGTTCTAAAATATACTTAGAAAACAAATATGTATCGACCCTTTCATTCTTATAATTACTCTTGCCACGTAATAAATCATGGCAAGAAATAACAGGACCAGAGTCATTAAACTTCTCAAGATTTCTATGACCTTTGAGAAATAAGATTTGAAAAATAAAAATGCTAATACTTAAGCGTAAATGGAGCTTGCTTTTTTCCCCTCTAATATGATAAAGTAAAATTTTGATTCTTAATATTTGTTTTTATTTAGGTCTAGGACAGCATTGGGTCATGAGTAAGTTGCATTTTACCCAAATGAGACAACATAGGCATATAGAAAGACCTTTAACTTAAAAATTTATACAGAAGATTATAATATCAGACATGATAGAAAGATTTGAGTTTATTATTGCCTGGACAACTTGGGCTTGTCCAGTTTTTGTTTTCTTTTTCTTTAAAAATAAACATACAGTGAAAATATAAGAGTGCTCCCTTTGGCAGTATGTATACTAAAACTGGAACAATTCAGAGAAGATTAGCATGTCCCATGCACAAGGATGACATGCAAATTCGTGAAGTATTCCATATTTTTTATCACAAGGAACAAACCGTTTTTTCTTTTTCTTTTATTTGTATCTATATGAGATGATGGATGTTAATTAAACTTATTGTGGTAATTAATTCACAATATGTGTAAGTCCAATCATTATGCTAAACATCTTAAACAGTGCTGTATGTCAATTATATCACAATAAAACTGATAAAAATATTGAAAATTGAAAAAAAAATTGAGTCAAACACAAAAGATGCCAAGAAGTCACAGAAGACTGGAAAAACTTTTTAAACAAAGGCACAAGGCAGAAGTTTGTCAATATTGAAATTTGAATTTTTCCCCCTTTAAAGGGACCAGTATAATTTCCAACCCCTAAAAAAAAACTTCACAGACAAGGCCACCGGCCAGGATTGTCAGTTATATAGTACAACTTAAATATCCTTTTTTACGTGAGAAAAGAGTTCATAAAATTGTCTTCAACTTTCACATAGAAAGACTTGTTGGAATAGGCTCAAAAGGAATTTTCCTTAATGTATACTCTTCAGTATCCAATATTGAAGCATCTTTCTATGAGAAATTTTAACTCTAGGATGCAAGTAAGAACAGATGATTTTTAAAAGACAGTAAGCTATAGCAAGGATGACCAAATTAATTAGCCAGAAATACAATATTCTTTTATTTTATACTAATGCATTTTTTCTCTTTCTTGCCCATTTTAAATTGGTATCTTCTCTTCATGAGATACATCAAATTCTTAGGGCACCCTGGGAGCTAATATAAAGCAGATAAAACCTAAGTTGAGTTTTCAAAGATGTGGTAGTTTTAAAACACACCAGCATTTAACACTATTTTTCTTGTCTTATTCTGTTAGGAGTAAATAGAAAACAGCCTATGGTTAGTCCAACAGAAATCAGTGATTTCCAATAAAGGAGTATTGTGTTATCTGGTATAGGGATTTCCATAAATGACTTCTACATTTGGTTAAACATGTTTAAAAGAAAAAAAAAAAAAAATAGCTCCCTCTCCATAGTCAAGACTGTTAGGTGTCTATTATCAGTGGAAACCTGTGGTTCTCCATACTGCAGCTTATATTTTATGGGTAATTCATACATGCATTTTCAAACAGAGTGAGTCACTGACAATGTATTTTTTAGACTACATATATAAATTTGTGTGTTTATGTATGTATGCACCTATATTCTATATACACATAGTAATGTGTATTTTAATATATTTCTGAGGCAATTTTAATGAATTATCATATGTATAGAAAAAATAACAGTTTTCATTCGACCCACAGCTGTGCATGTGTGTGTATAATCTCTTAAAAATTATTTACCCACTAATGTGACTTGACATCAAATTGCTGCAGTTACTTTCTTGGTGTTAGTGATTGGCCTGATAAACCCAAGTGACCAGCACTTGTCTGTGGGTGAAAAGCTAGTTACTCCTGTGGTTCAAGAAGGAAAAAAAACAGATTTACCTTGCCTTTTTCATAGACAGCATAAAAGATTAATATATGAAGTACATGTTCTTATTCTGGAGTCATGTGACTAGGGGGAATGGGACATTGAGAACAGGGCTTTTTTTTGTTGTTAATCCTGTTTTCCCTTCAGTTACATCATCTTATTAACCACCCTGTTCCCTGTCATCTATTTTTTTTAACATTAGTAAATCCTAGATGAAAGGTTTTGTACACCGCTCCTCTATCTACTGACTGCTTTTCTTGGATGGTGGCTATTCTCTGGTGCACTGCTACGGAAGATTTCACCTTGGAAAGCTGCGCTTGCCTTTTCAATCTGATCATGTTTTTTATCTTCGCATAATAAAGCTCTAGGGTCTTCAACCTTCAGCAGAAAAGTCCATTGTTCCCACCACAAAGACTGAAAGGGACAACATCTTCACTTAAGTTTCAACTAGTTTGTTTTATTTAAATTGACTTACATAATCTGAAAATGTCAATTTTGTAATAACTATCATTCTGTTCTTTTAGCACATAAATGTACAACCTCTCATTTGAACCTGAAAAATGATATAATAATTCTAAATTTGTATGCACAGAATATGGTAGCATCTAAATACATAAAAAATGGCCAGCACTACAAGGAAGAAATGGACAAACCTACCATCATCTTGGGAAATTTTAACATACCTCTCTTAGAAACTGATGAATTCAGCTGATTAGTAAATATATAAAAGGTGTGAATCAAGTAATACTACACATTCTTTTCTAGCAGGCATGGAACATTTCACTACAACTGAGCACATACTAGGCCATAAAGCACATTTCACCAACTTTCAAACTACATTTTGTCATATCAAAACTTAGAAATAGGGGCTGGCCACGTGGCCGAGTGGTTAAGTTCACGCACTCCGCTGCAGGCAGCCCAGTGTTTCGTTGGTTCGAATCCTGGGCGCAGACATGGCACTGCTCATCAAACCACGCTGAGGCAGCGTCCCACACGCCACAACTAGAAGGACCCACAACGAAGAATATACAACTATGTACTGGGGGGCTTTGGGGAGAAAAAGGAAAAAAATAAAATCTTAAAAAAAAAACACTTAGAAATAATGGTTATAATGTTTTTAAAGTTTGAAGATTTAAAAACACATTTCTAAATGACTCATACTTCAAAGACTAAATCATAAAAAACGTTTTAAAATGCTTAGAACTGAATAAGAAAAAGCTATATATCAAAACTTGTGAAATAAAGCTGAAGTGATACTTCAAAGTAAATTGTTAGCCTCAAAAGTGCTTTTTTTAGGAGCCAGCCTGGTGGTGTAGCAGTTAAGTTTCATGCTCCATTGGCGGCCTGGGGTTCGCCAGTGCAGATCCTGGGCTAGGATCTACACACTGCTTATCAAGTCATGTTGTGGCAGGCATCCCACATATAAAGTAGAGGAAGATGGGTATGGACGCTCAGGGCTAATCTTCCTCAAAAAAAAAAAAAAATGCTTTTCTTAGAAAAGAAAAGTCCACAACAAATGTGCTAAACATCTCTAAGCAATCAGAAAAACAAAAAAGAATAAATTCAAAGAGAATAAAAGATTGGGAATTATAAAATTAAGAGCAGAAACTAATGAAGTAAATACAGACACAGAATATAGAAGATCAGTATAACTGAATTTGGCAAGAGTCATTGAGATAAAAGAAAAAAGGCACAAGAAAATAATATTAGAAATAATAAAAGGGATGAAAGGCAATGTACAGCAGAGATTTTAGAACATAATGAATTCATATTCTCATCTTTCACTCTGGCCAAAATGGAATACTAGGGACAAGATTTACTCTCCTGCCTGAAACAAGTAAAAATATCAGACAAAAATATGAAACAACAGTGTCCAGACACTGGTCATCAGGCAATGAAGGACAATGATCTGTGAAATAGAGGAAACAAATTAGTTTGGCCCTACGATTGCTCCACTTTACTCCCTAGAGAGTTTCAAGATTGCAGGGCCTAGAGGGGAAACCAGGTGAAGCATAGAAGTCTCTCTGAGTTGAGGAGAAAGAGTTGAGAAGCCAGGGAAGATAAGACAACCAGATTTCAATGGGTAGAGTACCAAGGAGACAGCGCTATACAGAGAACACTAGAGATCTGCAGCTGAGTACTGATGACCACATGTGACCACTATCTAAGGCCATGAAAAGAACCACCTGAAACAACAAGGAGAAACAATTTTTGGAGCTCACACATGACCAAGAATAGTTTGAGTTCCATCAGCCAAAGCGGAAACCCTCGTATTTGACAGGGTAGCAGAGCACTCAGAAGGGTATTGCCTTAGTAGTAAAATAAAGGCTGCTCTGTGCCTGCCTTAAAAAGTTTAAAAGCAAGCCTGTAAAGGATCAAATTGTCCCCAAGTAACTTAATTGTGTCCCGTAACAAAGCTCAAGATTACATATATAAGAAATCCAATATCTAATAGCCAAGAAAGTAAACTTCATAATTCCCAGTATCCCATGAAAAATTACCAAACATGCAAAGAATGCATGCAAATGGAAAATAAAACCTATAATGAGGAGAAAAATCAATAAAAATAAATAGACCAAGAAACGACACAGATGATAGAATTAGCAGACAAGGACAATACAACAGTTATACTGGCTGTGTTCACCACAGTAAGGTTTGAGCATAATAAGAAGAAACATGGAAGATACAAAATATACCCAAACAGAACTTCTACAGATAAAATATACAAAGTCTGATATGAAAAATACACTAATGGAATTAAGAGCAGATTAGACAGAATAGAAGACAAATTAGTAAACTTGAAGACAAAGCAATGAAAACTATACAAAATGAAAAACAGAGAAAAACAAGTTAAAGAGAAATGAACAGTAAGCTGTATGACTATTTTGAGCAGCCTAATATAAGTCGAAGTGGAGTTGAAAAAATATTTGAAGAAATAATAGTTGAAATGTTTCCAAATTTGATGAAAATTAGAAACTCACAGACCCCAAAACCTTAGCTAAATGTAAGAACAAGAAACATGAGAAAAGGCACACCAAGACACATCATAATCAAATTGCTTAAAATCCGTGATAAAGAAAAACATATAAGAGCAGCCAGAGCAAAAACTGACATCACATAGTAAGGAACAAAGAGAAGGATGACAGCACAATTCTTGTCAGAAAGAAGGCAAGTCAGAAGACAGTGGAGCAACATCTTCAAAGAACAAAATGTATTTAGAATTCTACACCCAGTAAAAATACATCTCAAAGATGAAGGCGAAATAAAGACTGACTTAGGCAAACAAAAGCTGACAAAATTCATCACCAGCAAACTTATAATACAAAATTTTTCAAGTCCTTCCTGCAGAAGGAAAATGATATCAGATAGAAATTTAGATCTACACAAAGAATTGAAGAGCACTTGAGATGATAACTATGTGGACAAATATAAAAAATTTTATAATTTTTTAAATGTTTTAAAAATAATTGACTATTTAAAGCGAAACTTTTTAGATGTATTGTGGAGTTTATAACATAGGTAGAAGTAAAATGCAGGACAATAATAGCTTAAAGGCAGTGAGGGAGAAAA